AGCAATGGACAAAATTTCTTAACAACAAAAAAATTCACGTTAATTTTCATGTAGCTATGGATTAACAATAGATTATAAGAAAATTCAATTAGTTAGGAGCTATTTAGCTATTGATTGACTAAGGATTACCTGCAAATTTTGTAGCTATTGATTGACTAAGGATTACCTGCTAATTAGCTATTGATTGACTAAGGATTACCTGCTAATTTTATGTTTTCTAGTAGTTATAATAATCACTATATAATAAGTGACTTAATTGTGTAAATATATATGTAATTGTAACTAAAATTATCTTATTTTATATACGTACAACAACTTTACATACATTTGTTATTAATTAATGATGCAATGAATATCGCATGCGGTGGTATTATTATTTCCTTCCTACCTATAACTTTTACTATTTGAAAAGTTGCTTCTTTAATTACTTTCACCTTTTTTTGTCGTACATCAATTTAATGGAAAAAGTTGTTTTTGGAAGTACGTATTCCAGTGGACTAAAATATTTCATACTCCCTCCGTTTCACAAAGAATGATCTGGTTTGACTTGGTACGGAGTTTAAGAATATAAAGAAGACTTTTGAATTTTGTGGTCTTAAATTAAAGTTATGACAAATATACAAAATTGTCCTTTAATTTTGTGGCCTTAAACATGCCACGTGGAAAACTGAAATTAAAATATTACCAAAAAAAAAAGAGGTCATTCTTTTTTAAACGGTCTAAAAAGGAAAGGAGGGAGTAATACATTTGCGTGTATTTTTTTAAACTTGCAATCTTAGATATGTCATCGATATTTCATTTTTCACTTAGCCATGTATTATGGATAGAGTATATATTATGGCAGTAGCAAAAGTCAGAAATTTTATTAAGAGTGTTCAAAAATAATGGTATGTGGTTGTCAAAATAAAACAAAAAAATATTGTGTTTGAGGTTTAAACCTGAAACTCCTTCATTCAAATAGGACACCCACTGTCAGTCCATCACTATGCCAAAAGTATAGCTTTTGTCATTGCTATCCAATTTTTAATATATATTTTTACTTGACATAGAGATATATGTAACATAATTTTTTGACGAAAGATCTCCAACCTTCCGATTTGAGATCCTTGGGTGGCTATAGCTATGTCCCTGATTATGGTGACTTAGAGTTTGTGGTATCGTTTTTAAAAATATTTGGAAAACATTTTCTCAGACTCGTCGTAGCGTGGACGAAACGGTAGATGGGAGGGAGGAGGGGGCGAATTCATCAGTAGGAGAAAGGTTGAAAGAGGGAGCAGCAAAAGCAGTGGAGACGGGGCTAAATGTGGGGGAAAAGGCGAAAGAGAGCATGGATGAGGCGTGGGATGCAGCTAAAGAAACAACAAAGAATGTCAAGGATGCATTAGTTGATGACGCTAATGATGAAATGAAAAAGGGCTATGAATATCCATCTACTCATAAAGATAAACATACACAATACTTGAGGAAACGTGCTGATGGTTATGATTTGAGAGATACTCATTAGAACTTTTTACCAGTACTTTGGCACGTTTCTTAAAAAATAATGATCATCGGTGTAAAAATGTTTTATTATATAGCTTTAGATTTTGAGACGTGATTTGATTAATAAGTACTTCCTTCGTTTAAAAAATAATGACCTAGTTTCCTTTTTAGTTTCTTTCAAAAAGAATGACCCCTTTCATTGTTTGGCAACACTTCAATTTCAATTTTTCATGTGACATGTTTAAGGCCACAAGATTAAAGGGCATTTTGGTACATTTGACATAATTTTAATTTAGAACCACAAGATTAAAACGTCTTCTTTCTTTTCTTAAATTTCGTTTCAAGTCAAACTAGGTCATTCTTTTTGAAACGGAGGGAGTAATTAATACTCCTATCTGAAAGTAAAATAGAATTTTTTTTTTTTTTTTTATGTTAAAAAGTAATTTGAAATATTGGAAGAAGGGAGTAGTAGGTAACTTTTAATTTCGGAGTTTCAAGCATAAGCTAAAAATAATTAGATGCATGGTTCTAGTCGTTTGAAGTTCGTTATTTTAAATGTGTCATAATATTTGTGTTTTTACATTTTTAGTAAAGATATGGATTAATGAAGAAAGATTTCATGTTTAAAGCTTATTGGATTTATAAATTATTAGGTGATCTTTTTTAATTATGATGGATAAAATTGTTCAGTTCATGTGGGTTTTTTTTTTTTTACTTTTGGTCTCTTGGCGATTTGAATTACAACTTTAAAGTCAAAGGTGAAAGATAATATTTGAGCAATTGGTTATCAAACATAAAATAGTAATAAGAATAATAATAATTTTAAAAAATAGAAGCTTAATTTCTTATTGGACAACAATGCCCCTATGTAGATCGTGTATTAATAGTTTCCTAACAAAATGAGGGAGGTTAGGTTGGTCATCACGATTAATAGACAAAAGAATGGGAAGGCAAACACTCATATTATTTAATTTGCTATCTTTAATTGGTCCCTTGTATTGAAGTGATCCTTTAATATATAGTATGGTCCATATATTTTGTTATAAAGTAATTTAAATAGTGGTGTAAATTAGACACTTGGTTGGTTCATTTCTTTTTCCATAATAATATAACGTGTTTGAAACTTTTTTTCTTTTTTAACTATCAAAAGTAATCCCCTGTAATAATGAGTGTAACAAGTTATCTAAAAAGCTAAATCTGATTAGAAGCGTCACCTCCAAATGAGTTTTGTAGTATCTAATTTGAATTTAATTAGAGATTTTAATACAGATTTTGAATATTGGTGAAAAATCAAACAAGATTGTCTAAAAAGCTAAAACAAGTAATATACTTGTATGATTAGCAAAAGTCTGGTTGTAATATCCTTGTATGATTAGCAAGAGTCAGGTTGAAATTAGAGGTGATAGAATTAGCTCATAATTAATCGAACATGTTAAAATTTGGGCTTACGTTATTGATCGAGTCATTTATTAGTTTAACTTAAGTCAGCTCAATCAATTACACAAAACAGTAAAAATTGGATTGATATATAATTTAAATTGATTAATGAAAAATTCATCAAAATATTATCAGGTTTTTGCGCAAATTTCTTTCTTTCAGAGTGGTTTTTAATATTGATTTCGAATAAAATACTCTAATTTTTGCTTTTATTGCTCGTTTCATGAAAATTTGTGGATCAAAGTATTTGTATTTTAAGCTAATTTACAAGGCACGAACTTAGAGAGTTTTTGCCTTATCCAACATAAATTGTATAATATTACTATCACTTAATTCGCTCGACATAAGCTTAGAATTTATTGTCTCGCTCGACATAAGTTTAATAGAAAATTAATTTATATCTTTCATTAACTTGTGGGTATAAGATGTTATACCATGAAAATGTAAATTTATTTACTGCAAATGATTATTTGTTATTTCATTGCATATCAGGAGTATTTTCGATCACTTTTTTTTCTCACTTAAAGTGTTAAAAAGGGCAAAAATTAAACATTATCCCAAAATAGGAACATTTATGCGAATGCCACAAATATTATCAAAAGCATTTTTAAAAAAAAATTGATATATTAATAAAGAAAAATAATAATTTTATTAGATATTAAAAATCATTTTAAAAGATTAATTAATTAGTTAAAACTTAATCAGACAATTCATTTCAGCCCAAATAAATCACTTCAACACAATTCATTTCAGTCTCATTCTTCATCCTCGGTTGAATCATTGTATATTTATTAACTCAATTTATTTTGTTCGAACAAATTCAAATCAATCTAGAACAAATAATTACAATTTATTAATAATTCATATATTTATTAACTCAATTTAGCTTGTTCCGATTAATTTCAAACTAATCCGCCCATTTAACACCTAATAAAATAACATGGTCCATTATCCTCCAACTTTGGAACCCTCTTTGCTACTCTACTTCAATCATTAACTCTATGTGCTTTACGTGTTGGATTGTAGTAACTTTACCCCACCTAATAACTAATGCTTACTAGGATTCACCTAAAACACAACTACTTTTATGATAAAAATAAAATAAAAACTGGCAATAAAATGCGAATATTACCATACCAAGTCAAAGTAGTACAGATTAGGGATTATGATAAAAAAATTATCAGCATTATATTACACAAATAGAATAAAGGGAAAATAAATAAATATATCCTTAAATTATCGTAAATAGTACGCAGATATCATATGTCGTACTTTTGGAACATTAGTGCCCTTGTCGTCCAAAAACTAGAGCATATGTCCTTTACTCTAACGGAAGACTAAATAGGGACTCGTGGCACAGTTTTATTCGTCGACTCGATATATGTCAGGTCAGTGGATAGATTATGACACGTCCGTTAGTGTAAAGGATATACATGCTCTAGTTTTTGGACGGCAGCGACAACAATGTCCCAAAAAAAAAGACGAAAGGTACCTGCATACCATTTATGATAATTCGAGAAATATATTTGTCCTTTTACCCTAAAATAAATATAATAATATAATATGATGAGGGCTCGATTCCCACCGTTGTAATCCTCTACCTATTTTCCCTTTCCTTTATTTTATCCAATTGTATATGACTTCGAAATTTAACATTTAAAATTTGTAAATAAAATAAACATAGAGGATTTTTATACAAGTATTATTTTTTTAATTAAATTATAAGTGGATATAAGAGATAATTTCTTTCGTATATAAGGGATCATTTCCTCTGTTGAGATTACTTTTAGGGATAAATAAATTTTGAATGTGCACAAGTAGACACTTAAACGTGTATAACGTTGAACAAGTAGACACATGCATGAAATACACTCAACCTGATTTGAATTATGTCATGTAGGAGACGTGTGTCTATCTGTGCACACCCAATGTTGGAGGCATAAATATCAGTTGAGGTCAAGTTGGAGGACACGTTTATATATTATAGGAGTAGTAAATGGTAAGGTAAATTCCCTGGTTGTGATTGTAGTTGTGGTCCTCACAAGCTTTATTTACCTTTTGTCCTAGCATGCCTAACCTAGGCAACATTCATTATGTTACTACTCTTCAACAAAACTCCCATCTCTCCTCTTGGAATCTTCATATTCAATAATTTTAAAAAAAAACATGGCAAACAATGATGGTGGTGGAGGGGTAGGGGTGGTGGTGCAAGTGAAGCACTATTGTCAAGTGGAGAAATGTGAGGTTAATTTAGATGATGCTAAGAAGTATCATAAAAGGCACAAAGTTTGTCAAGTTCATGCTAAGGCTCCTATTGTTTTGCTTGCTGGTTTAAGGCAGAGGTTTTGTCAACAATGCAGCAGGTACTCTTCTTCCAACTACCTTATTATTTTAGGCTAATTTTGAGTGCATTTTGCTATATCCCTCATGCCAGTTTCATTGTAAAAACAAAATCTTTATGTATAAACAAATTGTTAATCCTCTTGATTTAAGAGAAACTTATGGTTCTTAAGTTGTGTGGTAGTATAAGCTATTACCTTCCCATGTTGCATTAAGACTCATTCGAGATCAATTTCCGAAGCATCACAATATTAAACCCCTCGGTTCCTTTTGGTATATCGATGTAGAAGTTAATCTCTTATTCAACTCTTGAAAACTCTTCTCACATGAGTCTTGATCATTGAAACTTGGTCTTTCTTTTTGGTAAATTTGGTCAACGGGGCAACAATCGAAGAAAAACACCCTACAAATCTTCTGTAATACCTAGCCAAACCCAAGAAACCATGAATCTATCTCCAGTGGAGTTGTGGATCTAGCTCAATTCTTAATGGCTTCAATCTTTTGGAAATCTACCTTAATACCTTCGCTAGAAACTACAAGCGTCCCTTTAGGTCACAGGTTGAAATCTATTCTTCCAAATCGCGTTGTTAAAATTCCTGATTCCGCTACAGCTAATAGGCAGCAGGCTTTTAACTTAGTAGTACTCTCAATCCTTAAAAAGGCCATCATAGTCGTGCATTTCCTTTTTCCGCTTTAATCTTCTCGTTGCATCAATAAAATTAGAAGTTCATATTTCAAACTGTTACTTAACAAGTAATTATTATCTCAAAAAAGTCAAAAAAAAAAATGTGACTTTCTGACGTAATAACACTATTTGTTGAGTGACCATTTAAGAAATCAAACTCGAAATTAGCCGATCTTGAGAATTTATAAGAGTTTTTCTCCATGAAGGATTTTTATCTCAAAAGACTATTTATGCTTGTCTAACATACCAAACGACCTCGGCGTTTTAATACGTGATATATGCCTCTCATTCAGGTTCCATGAGCTCTCAGAATTTGATGGCACTAAAAAGAGCTGTCGCCTGCGTTTAGACGGACACAACAAGCGGCGTCGCAAAACACCACTGGCTATTGAGATGGAAGATAACCAATGCAGGTTGATCAATGGGGAAGCCAGCCCACATATGGACATGACTTTGTCCAGCAGGAATACTATCCACACTGCTGATATCTCTAGATGAAATGCTTACTCTCTTCTGTCAGCCCCCTCGGGGGCATCGTTGTTAAGACCTATCGTTCGATGCTTGTAATGAAAGCAGAACTCAAATAATGTTGTAGTGGTTATCCTAGCAAACAACATTCCGTTTATTTGAAGTTTGTGTGCAAACAGCTCCAGATGTTGGAACTTAAACGTTTATGCAGTAACATGACAATTGACAAAAGCAAGAACTAGTTCAGATTTTACATTTCAAACAAACTCTACGCACACGTTTCATCATCTACCAAGTGCACAGAGAGAAGATTATTGGAACCTTACGACTACGCAGGATATATCATCGGTACTTCCTCTTGCAAGAGCATGTTCATTGAGATGCTTAGCAGCTGACCGCGCATCCTTAATATCTTTAATGCAATCTGCAGCTTCCTGATTTGACAGTACCTGGTATTTTACGCGAAAAGTTGCACAAATGTTACACTAGCAACTATGTAATGCATACAAGAATATAAAGGTTACCATATATTCGACAAACAATCAGAACATAGTCCAATTATATTCTAAGGCTCTGGAAATGTAAGTAGCTAACCTTCCACACGCCGTCACTAGCCAAAATGAGAAACTCTGTATCATCATCTATGAGCTCTACCACTACATCTGGCTCTGAACTTAGATGCATCTTCAAGCTCTTGTCGCCAAATGCTCTTGCTACTGCTAACTGCCCATCAACCCGAGGAACGTCACCTGAAGAGAGGAGAAGAGAGGAATTTTGTTTTAAACAGAAAATACAAAACTCAAGCACAATAGAATAGAAGCACCGGCAATCATGCCCCTGATTCCGTCCCCACTTCTGTCTATCAATGAAAACATGGCCCAGAACGACATATTCGCAAATGGCCATAGTTTCTCAACAAGGTTCCACATACTATTTTCAAATGGACGTAAGCAAAAACTTCTTGGTTTTGGCGAAGGGGCTATCGACTCTGTAATTTCAAACCTACTACACCTTCAACTCCTCTAAAACGACACTATTAATAAGGTCGAAGCAACATTCGCATTTGAATCACCAACTTAATGTCGATAAGAAATTGGATTCAAAAGCAAATTTCCATATATGATCAAAGAAGTCCATAGATGCAACCCCTCGCATATAAGTACGTAAATTAGATCTAGTAAAGGTAAATTCATTTGAACACTAAGGCTGGTTCCTTCCTATCATTGACGCATAAATGAAGATACCATTTGGTACTGACTGATTTCTTCTATGATTTCCTTCAGACTCTACAATAATTTTACAAAAATTATAGTTTCGCACCTGGAAAATTGGACACGAAACCACCTTTGCCCTCGATGATCTCCCTCTCTCTGCCAGGCTCATGATCAATGGACAGCTGCTTGGCTACTCCATTTTTGTAAATAACAGCACGAGAATCTCCGACATTAGCTACAACTAGTTTCTGACCATTAATCAATATGGCTGTAACAGCAGTGGATCCTCCTTTCCCCAAATCAGCAGCCTTATCCAAGATAGTTGTATCAGTTATGCGGTAGGCTTTCCTGATTGCAGACTCCGGTTCAGCCCAGAAGTTAGGCTACATTACGAAACAGGAAATGTGACGAAAGTTCATGGAATTCAAGCAAAGAGTCACGAAACTGAACGCACAACAACCGGCACTAATTGAAGACTGAACTAGCTCTACACAATACATGTCAAGCATTCAATAGTAACGCGAAAGCATTACCTCGTTCAGAATATTATTGAATAGGTGAGAGCGGAGGTACTCAGGAATCTCGTGGCTTAAATGGCCATCAAATATTGCAAATAAACCAAGTTCATTTTCATCAACTTGTTTAAATTGTGCAAAAACATAGTCTTCCATGGTATGATGCGATTTTCCCTCAACCATGTGATACCCATGGGTTATGTTCTTCGACATCTTACTCTTACCTCTTCCGGTATCAGATGAACTTAAGCCAACCTTTTCCTGCAGAACGAAAGAACCGTGTCACAACACAAGTAAATTTCAGGCAATTCATCATAGTACTTGGAAAAACTTCACCACAGTGGCAAATTTTCCACATAAGCTGAGATACAACAACAACGTCGTATCCAGTATAATCCCACAAAGTGGCAAAATTTCCACATAAGCAAAGATACTGAATAAGCAAACCACAATCATAAATATATGTAATGTTACTTGGATTAAAAGCTTAAGATAAATAGCTTGATAAAAGAGGAATAAGTTCTTAATGCCAACTACTTAGTCCCCTTCTTTTACCAACAAAAACAATTGCTACGCCTCAATCTCAAACAACTTGGGGCCGGCTATCTGAATCCCCACTTTAACATTTAAACACATTTTACATCATCAATGATGGAGCTAGACGGGCGAAAGGGTTCATCTCAGCCCCTTTACCGAAAAATTATAGTGTCAATTTTCTTATTTATGAATATATAGTAGATGATGAACCCCGTATTGCACGAAAATCCTGTCTCCGCCGTTGAAAACCATCATCAAACTAGATAAAATCAGATCTTTTTCATCATTAGAAAATTTATGCCTACTTTGTCTAAACAATGGGCATAAACTTCTTTTTCCTGAACAAATTAACACCACAAACAGCTACTCTATACTAGGACTTCAATTTTAAAAATTTAAGAGGCAAATTGTGACACTTGGTAGCAAACTAGTTCATCAGCTAAGTTTATTTGATATGAAATAACTGCAATAGGTTGATTACGTAGATTTATCGGAAACAGTCTCTCTATCTTACAAAAGCCAGGTAAAGTCTACGTTACAATTATTACATTGGATATGTTGTTTGATGTTAACAACTAACTTTGTGGGACAACACTAATCATCATATAATCAAACATATATTGTAACAACAAATAGAAGGCTAATTGAACAAGTTATTTTGAAGGGAAAGCAATAATAAACGTAAATTATATTTTTTATAAAATAAAATTAGCAAGTTAGATGGATTTTACACCAAGCTAACAAATAACCAAATTCAATTATTTTTTTTGCAGTATCAAAACCAAAACTCAGAAAGATTTCTAATTACGTGCAAAATAAGCTGAATTATTTACAATTAATTAAGATCCATGAGTAATATCGATAGATCAAGGTAGATTAATTATGTTTAGGACAGGGTGATTAGCAATTTTAATTATATATACGTACCTTAATTTTGTCGATGATTTCTTTGCCTCCAGTCATGGTGCAAAATTAAATAAAATGGAAGAAAACAAATCAAAAAAAAAATGTAGAAGAAGATTAGAAGAGAAAATTGCAGAAGGAAAGTGACAAGTGTTGAGGAAAAGAGATAACAATGTTCCTATGATTGACACGTCTCTTACTGTCTACGTTTTGTTTGGACATCAAATGGGCGGGTTGGATTGAACTAAAATAGATTAAAATGATCTAATAAATGAGCAGGTTATTGAATCGCTTAAAAATTATATATATCAAATAAAAATGTCTTTATATAATACTTTGATTAGATTGTTACAGGTCAATTTAGATTATATATCAGTTAGCAAATAAAATAAGCAAATACTCCATAAATTAAATTTAAAGCAAAACAAATTACAAGGTGAAAAATTAAATCATAATCAATAAATTGAAAGTTGGAAGTTCAAATCCTAAATTTAAATCAGCTAAATTGCTAAGATTTTTTCTAACCATTTTCTAATTAGCTTTATGTGTACGCAAAAAAAGAGGAATATATTCATCTATTTTGGCTGGAACTTTTGAATCGGGAATCGGGATAGTTAGTTGTGAAATTATCTTATACCATAGTCTTGATATTATTTTATTCTATATTCAATATTAACACTGATATCAAGATTAGCTAGTCACCACCTTGATATGTAAAACAATTAAATGGCAAAGATATTTTCTTCTAATAGATTGTTTCGATTGTTGTTACGTATATCATATTGTAGTGTATTAGTTTGATGAATATAATATTTAGCTAGATAGTATTACGTAAGTTTTTATCATTTTCAATACCACACATTCATAATTTATAGGTAACATTATACACAGGTCATGTTTCAAGTATTTGGGGTCAGTAATTTAAGGTTATTAGGTAGATTGATGAAGATGTCACATGTCGTACTGCTATAGAGGTGAATAAAATAGAGGCTTGCATCTGATATTCTATATGATAAGAATGTGTCGTCAAGATCTAACGGTAAACTTTACAAGGTGAACGTTATACCGCCTATGTTATGTGCGGTGGAGTGTTGGTCAATCAAGAACTCTCATTTTTAGAAGATCGCTAGAGTAGTACATATGAGGATACTTAAACGGATCTAGAAGCATACCAAGAGATAGAAAATTAGAAATGAAGATATTCATGTCACGTTGAGAATTGATGCGTGGAGGATATAAGATGCCAAAAGTAGGTTGGAGTAATTAATACTTGTGAAGAGGAAATATCGGGATGTCTCGATAAGAAGAGTGTGAGAGGTTGGTCGTGATACGCTTGTACCTCTTTTTAGTGGGCTCCAAACCAGGTCAAAGGTAGTAAGTACTAACTTGACCCAATTCCTTCAAAAGTAGCCGTACCACTCTAAGAGGCCCAGATCCAAATCGTATTAAATCGTATTAAATATTTAGAGGCCCAAACTAAATTATTCGACAAAGTTGCACTTTGGTGGTCCCAAAAGATGGACTAATTTACACAAACATCCTTCTTTTAAGGCTATTATTTAAATATTATCTCTATTTTAAAAATAGCGCATATATAGCTCTCTTGACGAACAAAACATTAGATTGTCATTTAACTTCTACACAAAATTTTAAATTATATGATCTAACGATTTCTCATAAGATTCATCAATTACAAGTAAAATAAAAAGACGATCATTTACTAAATAGCCATCCCGAAGAGGGACCCCCCAATTTCTCGTGACTATACAAAATTTTAGATCGTAATTAACATTTTCATTTAAGATTTTAAGTTTGTTCAGAATGAACTTTTAGATCACGGACTAAAAATTACAAAAGTTAAGGGATAACAAGTATTTTTGGGGATAATTACGACTCTATACACTTAAGCCAGTTAGTTTATAAAATATGTACGAAATGTATATGTTGTTATATGTGCATAATTTATACTAAATATACATTTACTACATACATAATATATATGCCTATTAACGAATAAGTTGTGTATATTTCGATCATGTTGGTAAACTAGTTGATCGAACAGTATATATCCATAACTTTTTAAAACTTTTTCCTTTTGGATGACCCATTTGGGCCCCATTTCTGCCTAACGACTTCTTTTGGGTCCACCATAGTTCCACTTTGTCCAGTAATTTAGTTTGGGCCTCTGATTATTTTATACGATTTGGATATGGGCCTTTAAGTGTGCTTCAGTCTTCATTGTACGGCTACTTTTGAAGGAAATTGGGTCAGTTATTTCTACCTTTGACTTGGATTGGAGCCCACTTAAACAAAGGTACATGGAATGACCATATTTTATATACTTTTTATTCCAAAGCTATATATATATATATATATATATATATATATAGCTTTGGAATAAAAAGTATATAAAATATGGTCATTCCATGTACCTTTGTTTAAGTGGGCTCCAATCCAAGTCAAAGGTAGAAATAACTGACCCAATTTCCTTCAAAAGTAGCCGTACAATGAAGACTGAAGCACACTTAAAGGCCCATATCCAAATCGTATAAAATAATCAGAGGCCCAAACTAAATTACTGGACAAAGTGGAACTATGGTGGACCCAAAAGAAGTCGTTAGGCAGAAATGGGGCCCAAATGGGTCATCCAAAAGGAAAAAGTTTTAAAAAGTTATGGATATATACTGTTCGATCAACTAGTTTACCAACATGATCGAAATATACACAACTTATTCGTTAATAGGCATATATATTATGTATGTAGTAAATGTATATTTAGTATAAATTATGCACATATAACAACATATACATTTCGTACATATTTTATAAACTAACTGGCTTAAGTGTATAGAGTCGTAATTATCCCCAAAAATACTTGTTATCCCTTAACTTTTGTAATTTTTAGTCCGTGATCTAAAAGTTCATTCTGAACAAACTTAAAATCTTAAATGAAAATGTTAATTACGATCTAAAATTTTGTATAGTCAAATGTTGGTCAATCTCAAAAAATTATATTTGTTTTTGAAAATAGAAATAAAATCTAAATGATGACTTAAAAGAAAACACAAGTGGGAGACATTGAAATTTCAAAGAACTTTTATTGTCTCTTGGATTTGGATTTATTAATGCCTATAGATCCAAGTGGAAGTCCTCAATATTTGCTTTTTTGCTTCATTAATCAAAGAGACCAATGTTGAACTCATCATTGTATTTGTCTTGGGATTCAAAGACATCCCTAATATGTTATCACTTGAGTTTTTTGGGTCCCCCTCTTTGTTTTTTTGTTTCTTGTTATTTTTACTTTCTCTCTTTGATATATATATCTATACTTTGCTTAAAATCTTCTTTTACTTTACATGAAAGTGTTCTCCTAGAGTTAGTCTCTTCATCTTTCAGGTATAAAGCAACAAAAGCAAATAATATAAAGTAGGTCTATCAACCATAGAGTGAGAGGGTATTCTTTTGGGTTGAATTGTAATAGAATCTATCTTCGTGCATTTTGATTAATTTTAAAGCTAATTATTCTTTCATTAGTATAGATATAGATAACTTTGTACATTAGGGCTTAGATAAATAAGGAGATATTACATATAGTTTTCGATGAATTTGAACGAAAACCTGATGACTTCCACCGCACTTTATTGACTAGTAGATCATATCCTTAGGTGATCAGCGAGATAGTATTCTTGTGAGGAAGAAAATTTCAGTTTACTTAGAATATAACTAGATGTAATTGTCAATAATAAGTAGAATTAATAACTCAAAAGACATGGCAAACAATGTGTTATAACAGGTTAAATTGCACTAATAGTACGTAAACTTCTTACAAGTTCATACATAGAAGTTAAATCTACTAAGTTATTAATATATATTAAATCCCCCCATAAGTAATGTACCATGTTTTCCAATTTCTTATTATTGATCCAAACCCTTTTAACCTTGAAATGCTACAGCATGATCCTACTTTTTCTTCATATTTAGTACTCCGTTCATCTTAAATTATCTGTCGTAATTCTTTTTTTACGTGCCTCTTAAGAAATAATAATAAAAAGGGTTGTTTAACTATTTTATTCTTTATTACTATTTAAACATTCATAACATCACACATAACTAAGTGTTTATAGTCTTCAAGAATAATAATAAAAAAAATTCTTCAATTTCTAAAACGACAAATAATTTGAGACGGAGGGTAATGAAAAGGAATATAATTATATTTCACTGTTAAAATCTTGAGAATTCAAAGTTCTTAAATCCTCTAGTTGCAATAGAGTAAGTATCTTCTCATTGACTTTTAAGCCAACGGGTCACTAATCTTGATTATGATGATCTGTATCAAATTAATAATAGCAGTAAACTAGTTATTATTAAATATAATCTACACTACATATCAACATAATTTCATACACTAATATTCAGTAAATCTACACGCTTCCAATATGATTACTTATCCATATAGAGTAACTAAATTAATCAAAAATATAGTTGGCAACTTAAAGTATTGTTTTAAAAAAAATATCACATGATTTTTAGTCATTTAGACCACTAATCTTCATTAGCAAGTCCCAAACAAGGGGTCCATTTATCCCCTCTTTAGGGGGAAAAAGCCAACTCTTTATACATTTTTCATATTCAACAAATAATTTCGTGATCGAGTATAAAAAACGTTTATACTATGATCAATTGTATCGATTGAGTTACAAATTCTCCGATTTAGCTCAATTTACATCGAAAATAACTGTAAATCCAATGGAAAATCGTGGTAGAAAGAGCAATTCAGGTGACAGATTTTCATTTCCAATAATTATGCCGGTTCAGGAAGGAGAAGAAATGGAATTTGAATTTTCCGGTAGTGTTTCGCCGGGATCTCCGAAATCTCCGGCGGATCATTTGTTCTTCAATGGACGGTTATTGCCGCATAATTTCCCCTGTCAACCGGTAAGTAATATCAATAGTCCGATTTCATTTTCGCGATCAACGAGCAGAACAAGTAATGCTAGTAGCAGAGATTCGCTCTGGTCCTCGCGCAGCAACAGCACGAATAGTCGTAGCAGTTGCAGCAGTAGCGCGAGGACCAGCACGAGCGAATCTTCTGAAAGGAAATTGATAAATCAAGGGAAGAATTCAGCGTTTGCTATGTATAGAAATTCTTCAAATAATATGAATTTTTCGACTACTCTGCATACTGGAATTTCGCCTAAATGGCAGTTTATTGTGACACCAGCACCAGTTATGAAGAAACAACACCAATTTTCAGCTCCAGTTATGAAGAAAAAAGGGCAATTTGTTTCGAAATCTCAGAAACAGAGTGCGAAAGGAGGCAAAGAGATGAAATCGAGGAAACAGAGAAAGGAAAATGGTAAAAGAAAAGTGAGATTTTGGCTTTTGCGAAGAGTTTTCAGGAAGTTTATGTCAACTTGCAGAGAATGTCACGCTATGGAACCAACAAGAAGAGAGAGGATTTCTCGTCGTTGAAAGCTATGTTGCTCGGATTCTTTCAAAATATCGATGGCAATGGATGCATATCAGATATTTCAAAAAATAGTACATTTTGAAGAATCGAATACGAGCAACATAGGTTGAAAGATTGACATTACTAATTGATTGGCATGTGTGGTGATGATTGGCTAAATTTTTAACTTTGGTAATTATTGATTTATGATTTTGGGAGATAATATTTATCTGAAGTCATGTAAGTGATTAAGCTTTGATTTGTGCAAGGTTTGTGATAAACCTTCTATGTCAAATAGATTTTGATCATGTTTTGTTTCCTAATCTCTTTACTTGCTTTTTATAATCACCTTGTATACGTACTCACTGGCCAAGTTAATCCAAATTCACGTTTTTCAAGGTTGATTGAAAGGGTAGAGATTGCATATCATATCAAACAAATGAATGCAAGATACCTATTAATTTTTGTTACAAGAAAGTTCTTGCCCTTCCGTCCAAGTATTGTTTTTTATTAAGTACCAATTAAAGATAGTCTTTCCCTAATTCCATCCAAGCATTGAATTTTTTTCATGTTAGTCAAAGATTTTAATAATAAAATAAAGTTGTGATCAAATGCCTGATTGAATTGATCAGGTCATGTAAGAACAAGGTTTAAGTCTATCGATCTACAAGGAATACTCAGCTGCATATATTAATAATGTAATTCCATTTGACATTATCATAATGATAAACAATTTGTCTATGGCAATGTTCTATTGATTTCTCAAAGAACTTACTTGGACAGAAAGTTCATCGCTGGGGATCGATAGGAGATATAATCTAGTATTCTCACTTTTAACTTAAGACATTATCCTTACCTGACGAGCAAAGTTTTTCACTGTTTTTATAACAATCTCATTTGTATGAATATTTTTTAATTGTTACAACAAAATATTATTATAAAAAAACACATAACATATAAGATAAGATGAAAGTTAGTTTCCAATAAAACTTGATTATTATGTGAAATGTTAGTTTTAAGAAAGTCTGTCCGGATATAGCGATCAAAATTTAAATAAAACGAAAAATAACCTTTAAAAATTATACATGATAAACTCTCTTGATACTAACTTGGACATAATAAATAAATATGAAATGATTTATATAAGTCATCTCTAACTAATTTTAAATTTAAACATACGTGACGCTATTTTGTTTATATTTTTGAGATTCTGAGTTCGGTTAATAAAGAGTGATTTTCAAAGAATCTGAAAAAAAATTAATTTGAATTTCTCATTTTGACAAGTGAGGCTTAGTAAATGATTGATAACCTCCGTCAATGATTGGTAGGTTCAGAATTCGAGTCATGCTGGAGGGAATGTGGAAACACTATTGATCCTATGAAGAAAAAAAACTTCTCATTTTATCGTTGATGATAAGTTTTTATAATTAGACAAATATTATATAGCATATCTAATAAGATTATAAGTTTGAAAAATCTTATAACTATATTTTTTTTAGGAAAAATGGTAGAGAATATTACAAAATGGAAAATCAACCTCTCATCAATAAAGGAAAATTTTAGTTAATCAATCAAATGAGCTAGTAAAATTCCCTTATAACAACATAAATATTGCTACGACGTATCTAATATCATAAAAAATGAATTTATTTTTTTTACTTAAATTTCACGTCTAATTATATAAATAAATTGATAGGGCGAGTTCTTGTTTTAATACTATTATTCCGCTCTTAACCAGATGTCTCAATGTTGAGCTTTGAATATAGAAAAAAAATCCTTCATACCAAACGCTTCTCCCAAATTGGCTCTATATATACCGTGTAAATTTTAATTAATCGAACTTTAATATAGATACTGACTATCAAATTAAAACCTAACCAAAGAAAAAAGTTCTATCTTTGGATTCTAGTAGTTCGTCCTGTGTGTCAAGGCAAAAATTAAGGAATAAAGAAGATTCAACATCATTTCACGACCAAAAGCTACTCTAGTTTCATCTTCCCGCCTCCCAAAATATGCCCCATGACAAGACACCAAAAGCCATCTCTTCTCAAACAGTACAAAGAAAAAAGAAAAAAAAAAGACTCAATTTTTATTTATTTTTATGTTTTTTTGCTAATGTCCGGTATCTATTATGAGTAAAGACTGATTCAGAATTTTTAAGTTTATGATTCTGAAATTTATAATATATATGTATTCGATAAATTTTTCAATAATTATATATAGTTTGTATGAGTTCAATAGAATTCTTACCTTTCAAGCTAGCTCTACATGACTAGGTTCGATTAAAAGTGATGGATGATTACACATCTTTTACTTTCGAATATACATTTTTTATCACTATTTTATAAATTCCTAATGATTTTGTTGAAATATCGTACAAATGGGTCCTCCACTCAAAACATCAACGAGAGGAAAAGGTAGGATCAATTGTTATTCGTTTTATCAAAGAGGTCTCGGCTTTACGAGGAGAAAATTTAAATTTATCAAATTTCAACACAGATATCAAACATCATATCGGAAAAATAAAAAAAATAAAGAGAGAGACCAAGCAGTAATGTTCTTGTAGATATTTACGTAAGAGTACTATTTTTATCTTAGAACGTAAAGTTATAACTAAAAAATATTTTGAATATTTGGGCTCCTTTATTGTGTAATGTCAACTCACCAAATGTCAATAGGAGTTGATCTATTATTTGTCATCATACCCTATTTTTCAAATGTTGACCCACATATGTAGTGGTTATATTAGCTCACACAAAACAATCCTCAACTTTGACCCTTTAATTACTCCCACCGTCCTAATTTAAACGTCTTACTTTTTCCAACATTTTACGTAGCAAATTTAAGACCACAATGTTTAAAAATCTCCCTTTATTTCTTAAATTTCCTGTACAATCAAACTAACACACTTAAATTGAGACGCCTTAAGAAATTTTTATATTGCTCGAATTCTTTTTAAGAAACCATTAATTAAAACCATGTTAGATCCTCCAGAAATACATGACATTTTAATGATCCGATACGAGCGCAACGACATTTTTAAGGATCCAGACAACACTACACTAATTTTAAATCTACTAGACATCCATATTCTTCCTACAAGAAAATCATGGAGAAGCATAAATTTTCCTTCATTTCTAGATGAACTGATAAAAAAGACTACAAGAAAAAGTGGAAACATTCAATGGTCCAAAGGATGAAGGAAAACCAAACTATTAAAAGAGCACTAAATTAAACAGAAAACACAACTAAAAGCTTTTTCTTAAGTACAACTTCTCCCCCACCATAACCCTAGAAAGATCATTCCAAGAATCTCTCCATCACATCAGGGTACATTCCTCCTTCATTCCTATATTCTCCGGGATTATTCGCGTGCTGATCAAGTGAAGTCGATGAATTAGAAGACGAAGCCATCCTAGCAGGAAGCGTATAGCTTCTCTTGAACTTGTCCATCTTCCGAACACTATCAGGGTGGCTATCCAGGCTCAAGAAATCGTTTGGATTAGCACCTCCGTTGTTGTGCAAGCTAGAAGCATCTGAGTTCGGATTTGAAGTCTTCCCATCAAGACTAAGCGGGTGCTGATTATGATCCGGTTTGGAACCTAAGCTATCAGGATTGAACAGGATCCTGGAATCATCATTTCTACCAGTGAGAGCACTAAAGAAAGTTAATCCATTAGGCCACTTGATATCACTCTCATGATCAGCAGCAGCTCCCATCATGTCTTCCATTCGTGGTTCGGATGAATGAGGAAGTTGAAGGAACATATGTGATTCATCTTTCGACTGTGGAATACCAAGTCTCGCGGAGTTTTGGAAGTTGGGAGAGGATAGTAGCGAAGATGCTGAAGGCATTGCCCTTGGTCCCCAGTTGAAAAGTGGAGGAGGAGCGCGAATTGGCATAGTCGGCTGCTTAAGAGGAATTGCAGATGAAGGCGAACTAGTCCTTGTTGAAGAAAATAGCTGTGACAAATAGAAACCAGATTGATAGCCTAGAGACTCGAACGTGTGCCTCATTCTTAACACGAAATGAAGGTCTTCCGGTATCTGAGAAGGATACAACATTCTTATCCAAATTAGATCAAAGTACTTAATTCATATTAAGTGACCAACTATGTTACTCGGACTAGTACCCGTGTTAGATACTCCAAAAAATGCACTACTTTTGGAGGATCCGACACATACAGTTGGCATTTTAAAAAAATGTCTGGCCAACATAGGTGATCAGTAATCACATGTCCTTAGAGATAAACAAAGATTATAGTAACAACTAAAATAAACAAGAATTCTTTTTTAGGGAAAATGAGTCTTACAATCTTGCAGGATCCCAGTTGCAGTAGGCCATGTCCAGCTTGAATCACAGCAATAGTCTGCAAGATAAAAACAGTACACTGTCACACACACGCATAAAGCTAAGCAAATAATGGCATACAAAGCAAGCCAAGAAATCTTCATATAGGCCAGCCTGGTGCACACTAACTTCCCACTATGCGCGGGGTCCGGGAAGGACAAGAACCACAAAGGTGGATCCACAACTCGAACCCGACCCCGTGACCTCCTGATCACATGGAGGCAACTTTACCAGTTACACCAAGACTCCATTTTGTAAATAAATAAGATAGAGAGGCAATTATTGTTCTAGAGTTATGAATCTGACCTGAATCCCTGACTCAAACTGGTCAGTCCACTCAGGTGGGAGCTGCAGAAGTTAAATCATCATCAACCATACAATCTTTCTCAGACCAATAATTGGCAAATGAAAAAATCAGTTCCCTAAGATAACCAAACATAAATGCAAGTAAACATACAGCATCAAATGAACTCTGCCAGTAATTTGATATGTTTGGTTCACATTCAGTAGGCTCCTTGAAAACCCATTTATGACACTTATCAGAGGCAACTTTACCCATCAACCTGCAAAACCAAAACCCAACCAATCAAAATAGAAAAAATAGTCACAAATCTTTGTCTCCTCCACCTTTTGATTCTCTATTTATACTATTGTCCATTATTATTCAGTCATAGAAGTGGTGAGAGAGTGTGGAGATGGAGAGTTTCAAAAATCCAATACCAACCAAATCACCTACCCAGTACCCACCCTTCTCCATAATTATATAACTGAATGGACATTTTGCTGAAGGCTTTTCTCACAAGATCTTCACCATCCATCTCTTCCAAGCAATCTGTTCCTCTACCTCTGCAGAATCCATCTTCCCACATCAACATCCTGCATAAATCAACACAAAAAGAAAGCAAAGTTACATTCTTTCAGCTAAAAAAGAGATCTTTTTTCCTTCTTCTTTTTGAAATCCATTTCCTTTAATAACAATAACTACGTCTCAGTCCCAAACTAGTCGGGGTCGGCTATATGAATCCTTAGTTCTTCATTTAAGCTCATATCTTTCTTTACACAATTAAAAAAAGAGACTAAAGTCCATTTTCTTGAACAACAATAACTATGTCTCAATCCCAAACAAGTTGGGTCAGCTATAAAAAGAGGCTAAATCCCACTTTCTTGCACAAAAATAATTACGCCCTCAGTTCCGAACAAGTTGGATCGGCTATACAAAACCCCACTTCTTTTCTTTCTTGACACAGCTATAAAAAGAGTTTGAAGTCCATTTTCTTGAACAACAATACCTACAATCCCAAACAAGTTAGCTTAAAAAAAAAGATTTTGAACTCCATTTTCTTGAACAACAATAACTGCACCTCAATCCCCAAACAAGTTGGCTAAAAAAAAGAGATTTTGAAGTCCATTTTCTTGAACCACAACAGCAACAATAACTACACCTCAATCCCAAACAAGTTAGCTAAAAAAGAGATTTTGAAGTCCATTTTCTTGAACAATAACTGCAGCCCAAACAAGTTAGCTAAAAGAACAGATTTTTAAGTCCATTTTCTTGTTCCAAAAAATGGGTAAGAAAGCAAAATACTCACAAGCTACCATTGTCATCTCCAACTTTACAACCATTACCACCTCTAACTCTCCTGCAAATAAGACAGAAAATGAGGACCCCCAAAAGACAAGAAAAACAGAGAAGAAGCATGGGAAAGACACATACGGTCGAGGACGAATGGTCCAGAAGACTGAATAAGTCCAGTCTGTGTTAAGACAGACGCTTCTAAGTGCCTCATGAAGGGCCATCATCCCAACTGCTTCTTTGCTTCTATCTGATGTTCCTGAGCCCACCATTTTTTCCCTTTTTTTTCTTTGTTTCCCACTTCTCTCTTTAAAATAAAAACTAAACTCCTTTTCTCTTCTCAACACTCAAACTCAACTCCTGTAGAAAAATTTGTCTTAAAGATTCAATTTTTATTGTTTTTTTTTATCTTGTTGAGCAAAAACTATACAATACAAATGCTTATGAACCACAAAGATAGAGACCCTTTTTTCTTCTTCACATTCCCACTACCCCCTTCCCCTTGTGTGTTCTACTTTTTACCTTCCTCTGTATTAGATTACCAAATCTGACTACTTGGGTGAAACCAAGAAAAGGCAAACCAAAAAAAATCAAAATGGAATGGCTTTAGTAAAAGGAGAGAGGAAGAAGTTTTTTACTACTCCCTCCGCCCCAATTTAAGTTGCTTACTTTTTATATACTTTATTTGGTGTTCGATTATTTCAAATTCGCACCACTCTTCAAAAGATTTTTTTATATTCCAATCGAACTCGAAATCTCTGATTAAAAAAGAAATAGCTTCATCCCAATGATTGGTGTGGCTTACTTTTCTTTTTAATCTATTAGTATTTTTTTTTTAAATCTTCTTTTAAGTTGTTTGACTTGATATAAAATTAAAAATATGTTAAATCTACTAAAAAAAAATTAAACTTTTGATCTTTAAACGTGAAAAATTGAAACTAAAGAGTTGCTAAAAAGGGAAAATGATCATTTTTTAAAACAAATAAAAAGGTAGAATAGGTCAAACAAATTAAAACAAAAAAAAAGTATTTCTTTCTATGGTTAGTAGATTTTCTAATTACAACTTTAATAAGTTTAACACTAGAAATTTTTTAAAAACTACTCACCACAAGATTCATAAATCTTCATTTATTTCTTAAATTTTATATTCAATCAACTTAAAATACTTCAATTGAAATGTAGGAAATAACAAAGATTGTGTTGAAATAGTTCAAACCATAGTTATAAAATGGAGTAACTTTTATCAGAGAGAGCTTCACTCCATATATAAAAAATTTGAACATGAATTTAAATTTAATCAATGTGAATTTGATACGAGTATCGAACGCTGAATGAATAAAATAAAATAAAATTTGGAGGTGCGTACGTGCGTGTGTGGGGTGTGAGAGTGTGTGAAGGATATGTTTATGTTTTGTTTGCTTTTGTAATTTACCATGAAAAAATGAGAGGTGGTGGGGACAGCTTTTATCTTCCCTCCCTAACAAAGCGCTTACACTGCACAAGAGGAGGCTCGTGCCTACAACTGTCAAGTTACTATTTTGCCCTTCTCTTGGTTATTTTGAAAAGAAAAATAAAAACTTTTTTTTAATCTTCAATATTTCTTACAAGTTACACCCAATCCTTTTATTTTATATGAGTGATTATTATTGTTTGAAATTGTTTTGCACGTGATGCTAAATAAAAATCTATGCATTCTAGAATGTTTTGACAACAATAATAATATACTCGGTGTAATTTCATAAATATAATTGAAAGAAAGGAAAGCATAAGTCAATAGTGGAACCGCAAAATCTTATTAAGGAGAATCAAAATGAGAAGAATTGTGCACACAAACGAAGAAGTTGAAGGAGGTACTGTAATATGTACTATATATACATAGAAATATTTTTAGTTATATATAAATAATGTGATTTTTCGCCTAATGAATTTTGGATGAACCCCTAACCTTTACTAGCTTCGTCTTTGCAGGTCTTACCCTTACCTTTTTAAAATAGAGAGATTATTCTGATGAACTAGGCCTTTACTAGCTCCGTCTCTAGTCTTAGCCTTACCTTTTAAATATAGAGAGACTGTTTTGATGGACTATCATAATAGTAGCATCACATTTAATTTCTTTAGAATGCGAGTTAAAATTTCAAACTCAAAGTAGAGATTCATTCATCAAATTATTTATGTCACATAGTTCATATTTTGAGTATAAATACATGATTTAACTCATGTTTGTGTATAAATATCTTTTGTACACTATTATACATTTTATACTTCAAAATCCATTTATATTTAATTTGTTTATTTAATCAATGGTTGTTATACTATTACCTAGTGGGAAATTGAAGATTTTGAAGGGGACATTGCCAACCCATTATACAAAGACAAACTTGTCATTTGTATTAATGTTCAAACTTAAAGGTCAATAAGCCAGTCAAACAAGAAAATTGGTAAGTTTAAATTAAAATGTCAATCTTGGAGGGGTGAGCACATGAGTATGTCTCTTGGAGTAGAAAATTCACTATTTAATACAAGAAAAAAATTCATTTTTGTGTGAAAACATGGTGCGGTAATCAATTAATTAAAGGTTTCCATGATTTTCATGCAATCAACAATTGATTTTTATTTTATTTTTAAAAAAAATAATAGGAAGAAAAATTTATCACAATCACTTAAATTAATAGGACAGAGCCATTTTATGGTCCGGAGGTTTCATTACCTTTGGCAGAAAATTATACTATTATTTATATATGGTTAAAAATATTTTATTATATATATATATATATATAGTAGATGTCGAATCTCATTCAGCTAGTTTGTATATTTACTTTTTCAAATTTTAAACTCCTTAATTAAAATTCTGACTCTGACACCATATATATTAGAAGATTACTTTTTGTTGAAAGAAAATAAAATGAAGAAAAAAATACATTTTTTATAATAGTAATAATTATTATTAATTAAGTGATCATACTAAAATTAATTCGAGTATATATATACTACATACAGGACAATTTGATAATCTAGTCAACTGTTAACCTAGCTATGTGACCAAAGGCATCTTCACTGCACTTAAATGATTAAAAAAACATGTCATTTTAATATCGCACAATAACTCCCATGACTTCGGTATCAAAAAAAGAAAGTGAGTATAACACTTCAGCATTCAGTTATTAAATTAGACATATGAGGTGATAAACACATTTTGAATCAAGTCTGTCGCATAAATTTACTTAGTATAATTTATATATTTTGTATGATTTGTAGATTATTACAAAGTGTTAGACACATAAAGTACTCAATATAGAGTACTCACACGAAGAGTAGAGAAAGCGACAAAAGTTAAAAACGACTGGAGGTTATCAGTTTTGTGTAAACATCTTATCAGTTTTATATATAAAGTCATGAAATAAAAATCAACATGAATTTTGATAAGATGGTTAGAATCTTCCACCATTAATCAGACATTTCAAATTCGAATCTACATAAATAAAAATACTTGCAAAACACGAATTTGAATTTAGTCCGATCAATAAAACAGAGGTTGATTTTGTATTAAAATAGGATGAGGGCATGTATGGAAATTCAATGGAACACAGAATCTTTACCAGTCAAAAGCAAAACTGGTAAGGACCGACTCTCTGAGAGGTTTAGATATGAAATCATTATAAAAATTGATTCTCAGTTGGTAAATATAATTAATAAATTAAGTGTCATTATGATAATAAAAAGACCTTTATATTTAATTTTTTTTGCCTTTTTTTTCCAGTAAAAAAGACCTTTCTTTACTACGAAGCAGTTATCCCAAAAGGAAGAAAATAAAAAACTCGAAATCTCCAAATTAATTTTAAAAAAAATCTCTAATTACGTATTCTTCAACTCAACAGCGTCAGCTGCACGTGAAGGAATCTCAAAATAGTAAAATAATAATAATAATAATAATAATATTGGAACTCTAAATTTTGCTTATAATAATTTATTGGTCTTATTCTAGTTGCTGAATGTCATTTAAATTAATATTCCATTAAATCAACTTTTAGTTTTGAAGCTAAGAACAAAAATGACTAAAATATATATAACTTGAGAAATGAATGGAAATAAAATTTGAATAAGTTTCTCTTTTATAAAAAATAAATAAAAATCAAGTTGGCTTCATTGACTAAAAAGAATAAAGATTTTGCACTTATATATAAAAGTTTTATTAGTTTTTAAAAGAATTAAGAAGAAAATAAGTCTCGCGTTATTATTATAATTCGGCTCGACTTTGACTTTGATCAAATTATTAATTGATAACCTTTTTGGACCAAAAATACTTTTAAAAAAATTCATGATTTTTGCATAAAGCCACATGATAATTTCCAAACGTTCACTAATAGAAATTCGAACATTTACCATTTAAATTGTTGGTATTTCTATCATGAAATAAACTCATTCATATATTAAGTAATTATAAGGGGATTAAATTTGTTCAAACAATATAATTTTCTATGATGAACTTGAAACTTATTTATTCTAATGTTTTTTCCCTTCCCAAATATTGTATTTGAACACTAGTATATAAGCGCAACATAATTGTTTATATAAGTTTCTTCATTTAATTATAACTAATTAGTATTGTACTTTAACTTATTAGTTAATAATCGTTAATTAACACGCCTATATACGTCGATTAGGGTAAATAAAAAATACACAAATTGTTTATTGTTTTTTCCTAACATCATTCTGCGTCTCATCAATAATTCATCGGTAAATATTTATAAACATTTTGGATTTCACAATCTATTATTTTGCACGTTTGTCGAGTTTCGAAAACGACGTGCATTAATTTGATAAAACAAAAGTATAGAAATTAGAAAGAAAGGTTCTTTTAAGTTTTATGATTGTGGTGAAAAAGAATGATTAATCCTCGTTAAAAATTTCCATTTCAAATGAAAAAAGAGATAAGTGGTCTTCTTAATATGATTTGAACTTAATTTTAAAAAAAAGTTAAATTAGGTCCAAAATTTATGTTGTTATATGGTATCATATTAGAATCTATCTGAGTTATTATTTATCGATAATGTGCCTTAAATTATTTATATACATTAAAATAAAAATTATTTTTTAGCGGCATTTAATTGGTGACATTTTTAGCGGTAACTAACCCTCTTTGTAGATGTTCCTAAATTCTATAACGACATTGGATCTAATAGCAATTAACGAATGTCAGTAAAAATTTTAACATTCTTTGTTAATACATATTTATTATCGCTAAAATTTATTTATTTTATAATATAACATCAGAGTGAAAAAAGAATGGGTGATTTTCTTAATGAGAGTGTGTCGAATGTCAATCATTTTAAGGAAAAAAAAGAAATGGAAAATTGTACAATAGTTTTCCAACTCTTAAGAAAAAGGTTAATGTTATAATTAATCAAAATAAAGCTGTAAAATTAGTGATTAAGGAGTCACGTGCACACGTGCGATGGCAGTGAGTCGGTGCATCGTTTCTCATAAAGAAAAGAGTAGCGCACGAATTGCGGAGCAGTCAATATTTCTCCCTCACGCGCTACACACAAGCAAATTGAGGTTGGCAAATATAAGTAATTATGGTCGTTTGGTTGAAAACAAGTTATTCCGTGAAAAATTATTTTGGAA